CAGTGGACACTTCTCGATCAATAGAACTTCTCCCATGATCTCTTGGACTATCCAGTTACACTTACCCCTGAGATAAAGGCCAACCTTGTTTGGGGGCTTGACAGGGAAGTGACCATAGTGAGGGTTCCCATTGCTTCACCTTGTTCAAAGTCTCATATGTTTACTGATGCTTTCTTGGTGGGTTGGAGGGCTTTCTTCAATTCCCCAAATATTTCCAGTTGATGATCGGTCAAGAAGGCTACCCTCCATTTCAACAACCTGGAACTTTCGGCAGTTTGTTGGGCTCTGTATAATTTTCTCCCACTCCTGAGGGGGTGGTTGGTTATGGTTCATTCCAACAATTCCACTGTTGTCAGCTATATCACCAAGCAAGGAGGGACCAAATCCAGATGCTGGATTTTCTTATACTGGGCCTACAACTAATACATGGCAATCTTGGTGTATCACGTTGCCAGCCTCATGAATCTGGTGGCTGATTGCTTATCTTGACCCAACCAGGTTCTTCCTACAGAATGATCCCTTCTTCCATGGGTATTTTGGTGGGTGTGTTCTTTATATAAATGTGTTTGCCACTCAGAGAATGTCAAAATTCCTTCCTTTTGGTCTCTGGTTCTACACCCTTTAGCTCTGGGAGTAGATGCATTCAGTCAGGTTTGGAGGGATCTTCCCTTACATACCTACCCTCTGATCAGACTCCTTTCCAGAGTTTTTCCCTTCTCCAGACCATTTCTTGTCATGTCCTGCTCATTGCTCTGTACTGGCCTGCTCAGATGTAGTTTTATCTGCTCTGGCCCTTGCTGGAATAACATACCCTGCCCTTATCTCTGTCCCAGTCTCTCTTCCGACAACAATGATCTGATATGGTTCATTCCAATGTTGCCAAACTCCATCTGCACACATTGTATTTTTCCTGACCCTTGCCTCAGCTTAGGGACTCACCCTAGTGTTAGCATCTTTCCTTGCCCATACCTTTTGACTTTCCTCCTTGTCTATGTACAAGAGGCATTGGTTTTCCTTCAGACTTTGTTCCATTTGCTATAGCTTCTGCCCGTTCTGTACTTCTGTTCCTTATCTGTCCCAGTTCTTCACCTGGTTGTTTGATCAGGGTTTTTCTGTGTCAACTGTTGCTAGTTGTAAAGCTGCTGTGTCAAACACCTTCTTTTCTCCCACTTCCAGAATGCATTCTCCTCCCTGGTTATTTCCATCGTTTTCCATTTCTTTCATCTGGTCCATCCACTGTGTCTCTTTGTTCTGCTTTATTGGGATCTCAATGTTATTCTTTATGCCCTGTCTGGTTTCTCCCTTTGAACCCATTGAAATGTGTTCCTTATACCATCTTTCCCCTCAGGCCTATTTTCTCCTCCTCCTAACATGGGGTCATCACTGTTCTGATATTTATCCCATTAATGTTACCTGCATCCTTTACCATTTGTTTTGTGTTATCCTCTATCTGGATTGGGATTTCCTTCCCAAGACATTGGCTGCCTAGGAAGATTGATTAGCTTTTTCTCATAATTCCTTACCTTCCATTTTCCACCTGTACTCCCATTCAGATCTGGATCAACTACTTTGTCCAGTTCATTCCCTGCTATGTTCAGTGGCTCATACTGCCTCCTTTCGTGGTTTTCATTCCCATCTATTTGTTCCATGGAATTCCTCTGTTTCCAGTGATCTATTGCCTATTTCACTCACTGGTTGGGTTCATCAACTCATTTAACTGGCATATTTTGTCTTGTCCATGGAAGGTTGCCATTTACATAATGTTTCTTCACACCACATTTGAAATCTAACTATGTCTTTAGCTGCTTGAATCCACCATTTTTTGGAGGATATCATTCAGGCTGGTATGTGGATAACTCCTAATACATTTGTTTCACGTTATCTGTATGACCTAATTGTGTCTTCCTCCTGTGGTGATTCTACACATGTCTGTTCACCTTTGACTGAGGTAAGTCGACATATTATTTTTTTATCTTATTTAGTTGATATGCATAATATTTCAGGATCCCACCTGATGGTGGGTGTTGCCTGGTCAGGTAAGCTTAATACTATAATAGCACTAAATCTGTATACTTCTATAATGCTCACTGTTGAGATAGGGTGTTTCTGTAAAACCACTGGTTGTTTATCTGGCGGTATGTTCATATATATATATATATATATGTGTGTGTGTATATAGATTTTATATCACTGTTTCGTATACAATGGACTGTCACTCATGGACTTCCTGAATAAAGCAGATGAAGATTTCTGCCCATCCCTACTAACCCATGATACTTCCAATCGGGGTTTTTCAGCTCTTCAAAATAGGGAATCGCAGACACCCATTGCACTGTCTCCTGTGTGTCATTCCTCCAGGCTCCCCAACGTATATGTTACCCCCCTTCTCTTCTAGTGAAGCACGGGAGTCCTTGCCACTTCCAGTTCCCAGTCATTGGAGTGGTGGACAGAGGAGATTTCCTCCTGAATGGTTTGTATATCAACCAAAATGTGTTTTTATATATCATGTGTACCCATTAAGGGAGAAGAGGGCTCTCATCGTTATGCTCATTACCAAACAATGATTATACAATAAAATAATATTCAAGATCCAAGGCGCTTCCCCTGGATGTTTTTGCCCGGGCAGACCACACTTGTTGATCAAAAATTCCTTATGCAAGGCACTTCCACTAGATATTTTCTGCCCAAATGGACCACACTTGCCATAGTCTGACATACTCCAAGGCACTTCCCCTGGATGTTTTTTGCCCGGGCTGACCACACTTGGTTTTATCATATATATCCAAGTCACTTCTCCCTTGGTGTTGCCCCTGCAGACTTGTTGATCTCTATATCTTATGCAAAGTGCTTCCACTGGATGTTTTTTGTCTGGATGGACTGCACTTGGCATAATTCAACGTATCCCAGGGTGCTTTCCTTGGATGTTTTTGGCCAAATTATTGAATATTATGTATCCAAGACTCTTACCCTGGATGTATTTTGCTTGGGTGGACAACACTTGGTGTATTTGTATACAATACATGGTCCTCCAGCCCTAGTTACCTTTAGTTATTTTGTTTTCTCTGACAATACCATGGCTTACTATCATTATGTTCAGATCTATGACCTGCTACATATGTGGACTAAGTATGACATGTCTGTTGGTAATGGGCTGGTTATGAAAACCATCAAGATCCTACTAATGTCTGTAATTTTTTTTCATCATCCTATGTATCTAAGGCACTTCCCCTGGATGTATTTTGCCTGGGAGGACTGCACATGTTCATCTCAATATCTTGTACAAGGCGTTTCCACTGGATGTTTTGCCCGGATGGACTGCACTTGACATGCTCTGATGTAACTCAAGGCACTACCCTTGGCACATGCTTATACAAGCCTGTCATCCCTTCCACACTAGACTTTCCATGTTTGTTAACACCGTACTGATTTGAGGCTGTGCATCTCTTTTTCTGAATGCGTTGGTGCCTGACAATTCAGAACCACCCTCTTTTTGTTCCTGTGTTAATTACTGGGCAAAGAGCTTACCTGTTCCACAAGTAGTGCTATACCCTACAGGTATGCTTTCTTTTCATATTCTTTCACACCTGTTCTTTTAATGCAGTCATTTTTCACTTAATTGTATATTGATGTGCCTTCACCAGCCCCTCCACCTTTGCAATGTGGGATTCTAGCTTTGGGTGTGAGGAAGTAAGACCGTTTTGGAAGTTAACATTTTCTTACACCGAAGATATATTTCCGATAGGTACTTACTTCCTTTCACCCACTTCCACCCTTCCTCCCCACTGATATCATGGTGTTCCTGGTTTGTACCTGCCAATTTTAAAATCTGAGCATTACTCTAGAATAGTAGAGGGAGCTAGCTACACTAGTATAGAGGGCACAGGATGATTGGTGAAGGGTAATCACATGATCAGCACATGTTCTGAAATGCCACGAAACTGATAGAGTATGAAAGTCTGGTGTGCTGTTAGTGAAAAATTTTAGTAAAGCTTAGAGGGCAGTCCAGGATGAAGATAATTTTGGATAAGAGGAGGTTAGTAGCTATCGGAAATACATTTTCAGTGTAAGAAAATGTTGACTTCTATAGATTTTATCAGAATACCCAGTTTGTATAAGGGGAGCCAATCAAAATTTGTAGATTTTATAAGTTAATAATAAAATGACAATTTTTTCTACAAGTTTATGTTAAAATAGTGCACACCATGATCACTTTTTAACTGATAATTGAAGGTAAAGATTATGAGATATTTTTAATTCCCTGTTGTTTAAATCTTACAAAGATAATAGACAATACTTTAACGATTTAGTTTAAAATTTTCATTTTTATGGTTTAAGATTAAGATTTAGTCCACATCTAAGTTTGAGGCTTTAAAATGCTAAAAATAAGGTTACAATATCCATGGCATGCAGAGAATGGGTAGCCCATTGTGTAGATCTGCACTTAACAACAAACAAACAAAAATTACATAAAAATCATTCAGCATTATCAGTGACTTATTACTATGATGTTCTACATTTATAGTTGAGGGTGGAAAAATAGGAGGAAGTACATTAGTGAATTTGTTTCTTTGTTTTATTTAATAAGTAGTTTTTTAAGTTATTTCATGTATTTAGTATGATTATATTATGTTCTTTATTGACTTTTTTAATTATCATTCTGTCATAAAAATCTTTGGGAGAGTAAATTTCTGCTGTTTTTAACCCAAAAATAGTGTAGTTAGATGATATATTTTTAATTTTCTTGTTTCTGTCATATATTATTGCCAAAGTATGTATGCTAGCTGACTATATCAACAAAAAGATGAGTTGAAACATTAGTAATAAGAAAACCTTGAATTAAACTATTTTTGGCCATAAAACTTGTGTTTTTTAAAAACACATCAAAGATATTACCCAGGTAGGTTCATTATTTTGGTGACTCATGGTTACTGCCAAGATTCTTTAGAATGCTTCTTATAATTTTGTTTCTGTTTTCTGATGTTTTTTTTATACCATTACAGAGAAAAGCACAGAGTTGGAGAAGCCAGACACAAAAGGCCTTTTTGATGGAGACGATGAAGATTTGTTTGGAATAAAAAATATTTCATCAGAAGAAACATTGGTACAACAGTCTCCTCAGGTAGATAAATTTTGGTCTTGATATCATGCTTCCTGGTGGCTCAGTGGTAAGTCAGTGGCTTATAATGCTAAAAATCTGGTTTCAATACCTATGGTGGACAGGGCAAAGATAGCTCATTGTGTAGCTTTATGCCTTATAACAAACATACAAACTTGATATCATACAAGATAACAACTGTTTAATAAAGCAAACGTATAGCTATATTTTTCAATAATAATCTTTCTTTGAAGACTAATGCTGCTTAGTTAAATGTAAAGACACTGTCATTATAGATGTTTGTGTGTGTGTGTATTTTTGAGAACATTTTATCCATGCTTAGTTTGGACAGCCTTCAAATAGCTTTATATTGCCCATATGGGCACATTCTGCCCAAGAGAAAAATTGCACTATTATATTAAACAATTACAAAAAATAAACTTGTGGCCGTTCTTCCACACACACACACACTAGTTAAACTGGATTTGGCAGGAGGATGATACCTTCTACTGTTGTAAACAGCCTCTAAGTGGACAACTTTCAGATTTCCTGTCAGTTGTTGGATATGAGGTTTATTGAGTGGCAGCTTTAGATTGCCCTTGGTTGTTGGGATAGACCACAGCAAGTGGTTTCACTTTCTTGTCATCTAAAACAATTTATGTGCATCTTTGCCATCAGTGGAGATTGCACTCTTATCTGTTTGGATGGTGCTGTTATTCCTGTGGTGGCTGAGACAAAGTTCTTAGGGATTCACTTTAACTGTAAACTGACATTTATTCCACACATTGAGCAGTTTCATGTCAGGTATAAAAGGGCACTTAACATCCTTCGTGTCTTTTCTTCCACTTCTTGAGAGTGGTGAGATGTTCCATGCTGAAGATCTATCATACCCTCATTTGATCAAAGGTGGACTATGGATCTAATTTATGGTTCAGCCAAAAACTCTGCCTTGAAGATGTTGGACCCTGTACATCATCAAAGGCTTTGTTACTGCACGAGGTCTTTCTGCACTTCTCCTATCCTGAGTTTGTTCACTGAGTCCAATAAACTTCCACTTCATCTCAGACATGCCTCAGTGGGCTGTGCTTTTTAGCAATAGGCAATCTCCCATTTCTTCATTAAAGCTTTGTATCCAGGAACAGTTGACTGAATTGGGAATGATATAGGATATCTCTGAGTCTGATGATCAGCCCACCCCACCATGGTTGTTACCTTTTTCAATTGTGTCATCTGAAGAGGTCAGCTACACTTGAGTGGAAGTACAGACTTCTCTTTACTGAACATCTTTTGAACCATTCTTCTATTCCCATTTCTATGGATGGTTCAGAATCTGGTGATTCTGCTGGGCTTTGCCATGGTTTGCTGTATCTCAGTGATTGCTCACTGAATTCCCTCTACAGATTCTGTTCACTGCTGTGTTATATGCAGCTTATCTTGCCTTGGATCATATAATAACTGAAGTATATCAAAAAATTCTTACAATATACAAAAATATTTTGATGAACTCCATCAAGACCAAATATTATTGTAACCCCAAGGATCTTTACACCAATATTAACATTTGTTACTCAGTTGAAAATCCGATTCTGTAGGTTGACAACTATAGTGCAATCGTTTTATTTTATGTTTCCTTTTGAAATTCTTAGTGCCAGTGGTAATGCAATAATTGAGTGAGCTGAATCCCTGGCAACTAAGTACAAAGAGGATTTATCTTCAAACTTTCCTGCGCATCTACTGTTATTCAGAACCACACTGAAGGATGAAATACAAGTTGTTGATGATACAGTTACAGATTTAACTGATCTTTTATTCTGGAAACATAACACTATTTTATCTAATGTTTGGATGTTACAACATTGTTGAAAGTCTTTTTGATTGTACCAGCTACTGTCCCTTTAAAAGTTTAAGTTGATCAAACACAATCTTAAATGTTCTGTGACTTAGAAGAAACTGATAAGACTGTGAACCTTAAAACATAGAGTGTGAACGAGTTAAGAGATTAGATGGAAAAGCCTTAACAGAAGAGTTTTAACTAAAAAAAAAAAAGGCAGTAATCTCATTTTTGGTAAAATAACTTTTATGATGTAAGAGGGTGTACTGTTTTCCATTCTTGCAGCAACATATAGGCATTGATTGTTTAGTTCTTCAGTGGTCAAACAGACAGAGACTACTCCACTGAAAGCAATTTGAAGCAAAAGGTCAGACAATGACTATATATTTTGATTATTTTGTGGGGAAGGGGAAAATGTTTAGGTTTCATATGGGGGGAAGTTAGTTAAGACTAAAAGGAATTCAAATGATCTTGTTTATGTAATTGATACTTGAAAGCATCAGTACTTGGTGAAACTCCATAAAAGAATTGAAGAAATATACAATTGTCTTTGTTTTTTTCTTCAATTCTGTAATATTGTTTAAGAAACTGTTATTCATTTTAGTTAAAATGAATTTTTGAAAATCAGATGAAACTTGTTTTAGGAGTTACAGGTTGGGAGTTTAAATTGTAAAAAAACAATAATAAAACGAGATGTGTGGTAAGTTTATTGGTGCTTCATATTGAAAAAAATGTGTCACAGAAGAAGAGACACTTAGGCTCCACCCGTGCGTGCACACCATATTTTATAGGGGGCCTGGGCAATTTGTGTTACACCACTGCATGTGGGATAGTCTCAATGGTCCCCTTAAAATTTTTGTATGGTGTTAATTAATGGAATATGTGTATACAATTATGTGGTGTAATGTTTGTGACTTGCAATAACATATTGAGGTTGCATATGCTTCAGATGATGGTGAACTACAAGGATGTGTTAACCATGTCAAAAGCATCTAGGACTGCATTGGTGCTTGAGATCAACACTTTCAATGCTATTGATTGTTTAATAATGCTGTTCAGATATTTACCCTATCTGCATTTATGGATGCAAGTGTTGTTGTGATGCATATTAGTAAATGTTTTGAAGGGCATTAACTTAAAGTTGACTTTGTATTATCTCATTGATTTTCAAGGGTGGGCCTAAATACCTCATTCCTTACACTAATAATTATTTTCTATACCTCTCCATTTCTATATTACTTACCTGTCAATTAACTTCCAAATTATTTAATATAACAGTTAACTCTCTCAGTCTCTGGCATATTTCAGATTTCTACTGGAAAAGATCTTTCTCCAGTCTCTAGAAAGAAGTGCTGTCTCTTGTCCAGTGTAAATGTCTTGCTGTATTGAA